TAATACTTCACATTTTGATGCATTTAGCTTAAATGGACACTATAGTCACCTGAACAACTTCAGCTTAATGAGGTTGTTCAGGTGAGAACTATAGCTCCCTGCAGCCTTTCTCATGTAAACACTGTATTTTCTGAGAGGAACACCTCCAGTTGCAGTCACTCAGAGTGAACCAGAGGGACTTCGGAGTTGATGGAGGCATAATATGCCTCCATCCACTCAGATCTGCTGTGCACAAGCATCCTGTGATTCAGTATCTCCTCCCACTGCATGCAGACACTGAACTTTCCTCATAGAGATTCACTGATTGAATTCATCTCTATGAGGAGATGCTGATTGGCCAGGGCTGTGTTTGAATCATGCTGGCTCTACCCCTTGTCAGTCTCAGCCAATCCTATGGGGAAGCTCTGTGATTGGATCAGGCTATCACATGTCAGCAGACTGCTTGTTTTTCCTGAGTCTAACAGCATGCAGATTTACAGCTTCTGGCTTAAATACAGTAAGATTTTTACTATATTTATGGAGGCATGAGGGGCCCAGGGAGGCTAGACGGTCGTATTAACACTATAGGGTCAGGAATACATGTAGTTGCACTGGTGACTATAGTGTCCCTTTAAGATTGGATAGCAATTCATACTTCTTAAATTCTATTAGCTTTGGCAGAGTAGTTCTTGGTTTCATGACAAAAAAAACGACGTCATCTGCATAGGCTTCTGTTTTATATTCTGTCCCTTTAAAATTATAACCCCTAATAATATGTTTCTCCCAACTGTCGGTAACAAAGGCTCAAGAGATAAGGCAAATAAAATTGGGGAGAGTGGACAGCCTTGGCGGGTAACATTATTTATCTGAACTAACTCTGAAAATGATCCGTTCACATTTATCTGGGCATTTGGGCTAGTATAAAGAGACTTTAACCACTGCCTAACTTCCCCCCAAAACCCATATGTAATAATGTTGCTTGCATAAAGGTCCAGTCCACCTGGTCAAATACCTTTTCTGCATCTGTGGACAGCAATAATAGTGGGCTTTACTTGTCCATTGTATAATATTGTATACTCTTATAATATCTCTAGCTTCTGTTTCTGGTATAAAGCCACTTTGATCTGGGTGGACTAGCTTCTGAATCCTTGTTGCTAGGACCTTCAAAAACATTTTAATATCAAAATTCAATAATGATATGGACCTATAGCTACTGCATAGATCCGGGTCTTTTCCTTCCTTAGGGAGGATTGTTATACATGCTGAAAGAGAATATGCATGAAACTTTTCCCCCTTTGGAATGGAATTAAGAGCATCAACTAGCCGTTATATGAGAACTGTGTCAAATTTCTTATAGTGTAGCAGACTAAAGCCATCTGGCCCTGGGGCTTTCCCTGGTTTAATTTATTTATTTTTTTTTTTTTTTTTGTATTTTTTTTTTTTGAAGATATCAACGTATACATTTACTCAGTATATGAGGTTCTGTTATCAACATAGTTATGCAGTACGATCAGTAGTACAACAAATTAAGAACGTGGTTATTCCTCAACTCTGTATTACTGTCTATCTAGCACCATAATATGGCTAGTACTGTGATTTGAGTAGTGGTGCCGTCCATGTAGGTATTTTGCATAATGACCACCTCTATAATACATTCCTGACAATGCAATATATTCCCGACAATGCAATTTGTTTGAGAGAGCGCAGCAGGGTTTGCAGCACCACATGTGTATAGTAATGCCTATTATGTATTTATGCAGTATCTACAATGAGGGCCTGCGTTAGAAATGCAAAGTGTAGTCTACGTGGACATTTATTCTAGACATGCGAGTATGCGTTGTCATAGTTAGGTCATATGCTCAGTAGTGTAGTCTCTTTTGCTATGTGGGATTATAGTTGTACCATGTGTTTGGCAATACTCTTCTCTCTGCATATACATTGTGTAACTTAGCAAGGTAGTTATGCATTATGCGGGGCAGTGTAGGATATAGAGTGGTGTAGGATATAGAGTAATGCAGCCCTTATGGTTATGCAGCATCTCTGGCAGCACATTAGCTCTGATAATACAACAACACAGTTAATGCAACAACTCTCGTAGTGTGACAGCTCTGGTAATGCAACATCTTTGGCAAATTAACATCTCTGGTAGTGCAACAACTCCATTAGTGCAACCTCTCTATTGATGCAACATCTCTGCACTGCTACATCTCAGGTACTACACCTTCCCTGGTTCTGCAACCCCTTGATTATGTAACATCTCTCAATATGCAACATCTCCAGTAATGTAATATCCCTGGTAACATTATATTAGGTAAATCTCTATTATGGTGGTGTCATAATACATTAGCCTAAGAAATTTAGTATCGCAGTATATATACTTTCGCTTCGCCAGCAGTTAGGCAGTCCATTCAGTCATGTCACTTATTAGTAATGCCATGTATGTAGGTGGGCGTGTGGGTCTCTACGTGGTCGTCCATGGAGAGCGTCCACTGGGCAGGTGATGGGGCTTCAGGTGCGTGTCCTGCTTGTCGCTGTGTCGAAGTGTATGGTCGGTGGCCGGTGTTTGTAGGTCAACAGGTTAAGTCCGGTTACCAAAGGAAGTCCCTGTTAGTGGTGGTGTTCTTTCGTTCCTTCTTCTCGGACGGTCTTGTGTCTGCGGCTCTGTGTGCAGGAGTCAGTCTCTTTATCTGAAAGTTGGGTGGTTTGCCTTGTGTGAGGTCAGCCCCACTGGGACTCTCTGGACGTTCGGGGCTCTTGCTATCGTGGGGATGTCCCGTGCCGGGGGCAGACCCACTTTTTGCAGGAAGGGCTCCGGGTCATCTTCTGATGTCAAGACCACACTCTCTCCCTCTATTTCCGTTAGGAGCGTACCCTCCACTCCCCAGCGGAATCTCATTCCTGAGTCACGCAATTTCTTGGCTATAGGTGCCAGCTTTCGCTTCTCTGTGAGGACGGCGAATGGTATGTCAGGGAATATAGCCACTCTGTGTCCTCCATAAATGATTACCCCCATTTCACGGGAACGTGCCATTATAGCTGACCTTATAGTGATATCTAGAGTCACCATGATGATGTCCCTGGGTGCTCCACTTGGGGCTGCCGCTGATTTCCGCACTCGGAATGCTGTGGAGAACCGCTGTCTGTCGGCATCTCCCTTCACTCCCATGTGTACAATCAGCTTGTGGGCGTAGGGTAGGAGCTGTTCATCGGTTATCGACTCGGGGACCCCTCGGAGACGGAGGTTTTTCCGCCGGTGCCTTGCCTCAATTGTGGTCACCGATCGTCTCAGTTGCTGCACCTGAGAGGTAAGTTTGTCCAGTCGGGTGTCCCTGGCCGTCCGATTATTTTCTCTGGCCGTCTCACGGCTTTCAAGTGCCTTGACTCTTTGGTTCAGCTCCCCCACTCCAGCTTGGACTTGCTTGAGGTCCGCACCCCATATATTCCTCATTTCTGCGAGGAGTCTGTTAATGTCCCCTTTTGTAGAGGGTGTCTCGTCTTCCTCCACTTCAGAGAGGCACGACGGAGTTTCGGACTGGGGGGAGGGTGTGGGATCTTCTTCGTCCTGCGAGGCCTCGGATTCCGCATGTGTGCGGCGTGAGTCCGGCGCCATCTTTACGGCCTGTGAGTCTGTCGGCCGCTCAAATGAAGTTCTAATATCTGGCCGGTCCCTGTGCCTTCTTATTTCTTCGCCCCATGTCTCTATAGGGGGGATGTCTGCGTTTTGGAGTTAAATCTCTGTTTTTGTGGCTATTAATATAGATAGTTTCTCAGTCCTGAGCGGAGCTCTGTAGTGAGACGTCCGTTCGGTATCGCTGTTAGCCACGCCCCCTGGTTTAATTGATTTTAATGTAGCTAATATTTTCTCTTTAGTAATCGGTTTATCTATTATTTCGGCATCTGAAGGTTTACCTGCACAACCTATGGATTCGTCTAAGTAGGTTTGCACCCCATCATTTATTTATTCTGTGAGATTTTAATTTCTATATTATAAAGGGATATACAGTAACTGTGGAATTCTTCTTTAATCTTATCGGGGCAAAAGGGTTACATTTCCCTTCTGTTGTTGAATGCGGTGTATCTTTTTTTTTTTTTTCCTTCCTTTATCATTTGTGCTAATAATTTGCCACACTTGTTTGCGTTGCCATAAAAGAAGCATTTAGAGCTTTGAAGAATACTATGATACTTTGCTGCTATGTGTCCATAGTTCCTGCCTGACCCCCATAAGTTCTATATAAGTCTCATCTATTTGTGAGATTTTGTGTTTAGCTTCCAGAACCCGAATCTGAGTTGTTAAATCAAGATTTTTTTTCTTTTGTAGTTGTTTTTTATATGAGCCTATAGAGATAGTTGTCCTCTGGTCAAACATTTATGAGCTTCCCATAAGGAAAGGGAGGATACCTCTGGGGACTCATTCTCAGAGAAATATTTGTATTTCATGTAAAATCCATTCCTCAACCTCTGGGTCTGTCAATATAGTTTAATTTAATCTCCAAGTCCATTCCTGTTTGCTTGGTGTTTGTGAATTTATCTCTACTTAAAGTGGATTATGATCTGACCATGTCATCGGGAGTTTAGTGGCAGATTTTACATCTATAACGTCCTCCTGTTGAACACATATATAATCAATTCTTGAATATGTTTAATGACGTGGTGAGTAATATGTATAATCTTTTATGTCGGGATGTATGGCCCTCCAGCTATCCACTAATCTCAACCCGTGAAGTGCTTTGTGTATCCGTCTCAAATTCTGGTGTGATAGACTGCTTCTACCAGATGTGGAGTCTATCCTTGGCTCCAGGGTGACATTCCAATCCCCTCCAATTATAAGTCTTCCCTCACTAAATTGTGCTAATTTCCTGAGTGTCTCCACAATATACACTGTTTGTCCATAATTAGGTGTACACATTGTAGCGAAAGTATATCTCCCATTTTTGTCTGTGCCCTATGTGCTCTTTCGATATTAATGACTAAGGTAGCCTCTTCACCCAGAATTTTAGAGAATAAGCAGAACAATAAGTCTCCTATCTCCTCTCCGTCTGGTGTCTCAGGTAAACCGCGTACTCGAGTATTGTTGGGCCCAACAGCATATTTCCTTGCCTTGTTGCTGCAGTTTCTGCTGAAGTATGTAGATTTTGTGATTGCTGTATTGCACTTTCCAATGCCTGTACCGGGTGGTCCAATGTAGTTACCTCTGCTTTCAAAGCAGCCACTTCTGACCTGATGGTAGATTTAAGGTCTTCCACCAGCGGTATGAAGTCAGCCTCGGTAACTGAGGATGCTGTGAGTATGTGCAGATCCTCCCTCATCCACCCTATGGTCTCTTCATATCCCGTCAGCTCCGAAGCCTCTGATACCTCTGTGGATATCGGTGATGTCGGCATCATTGTTTTGGACCGCATGGTAGCTCCATGTGGTCCTTGTGTAACCGGTGGGGGTCTCAGAAAGTCATCCATTGACCCTAGATTCTGCTGGGATTATTGTATTAGGGGTTTTTGAGAGCCATCTTATGGTTTCTCCCCATCTGAGTCTAATCGCTCGGTGTGGTATTCTCCAGCTGGCTGGCAACAGGGACGGAGCAGAGCACAGACCAGACTCAGCATGCGGATATACTCCCGAATGTCAGCTCACGCCCCCAGTAATCTTTTAACCTTTTATAATTAACAGAGCATAATGTTTTCTTTTTTGGCAAATTTCTATAGATAGTAAACAGTTTGTAGTTCTTAGGAGCAGGTGTGCTTTTATGTGTAGAGTTGATGTTTGTACGTGCAGTGGTGGTTTTGGATGTAATGTTTCTATTTTAAATGCGGATGTACATTTGTGTGTAGTATTGGTGTTTGAGTTAAGGATGTCTTTGTATATAATACGAGAGTTGGCATTCAGTGATGTATTTCTATGTCATGTTAGTGTTTACAGGGGTGTATTTGCACTAACGGCAGCGTTTTTCACATCATAGTATCCCCCCACCCGGCATGGAATCATCCTGTTCTCTTGTAAAAAATGATACGTAAATGAGCCATAGATGTATATAACATTACGTTCGTGAATGAACTAAGTTATACAATACTGCCATCTAGTGTTTATACTTTTTACCTGCTATTGAGTTTCCAATAGTGACTTATGGAGGTCCCAAAGGGCTGCTGTCATGCCCCAAACAGTTTATGCTCATTAGATTGAGCATAAGATTTTATCTATACATTGTGCTACCAGGTTTGCTAGAAAATGTACAGACTAGGAGAAAATCTTTTAAAAAATAGGTAATTCTCCCAGCTGTTTGTCAATGCCCGGTGTGCCGAGGCAATGACTAACAAGTGAGAGCAGAAAAGGTTTCCCACATTATGTATCCCATTTGTGAAACTACCCTGGCATGACCCCAGTAACCTGGTAAAGTATGTAGGGATTATTCACTAAAATTATAGACATTGGGTATGTACTCACTTTAAGCAAAAATAAAAGAACAATAGCCAGTTTGGTGAGTTTTATCAGCTGGTTATTTTGTCCTAAAATGTGCAATTCACATGTGAATTCTCAGCAATTTTCAATGTAGTGTCTAAACCTGTTAATAAAACTAAGGAACTCTGTAAAGAGGTAATAAGCACACTGTAGTGATGGGCCCAGTGAGCTGGCTGTTAGCTGATTATGCACATAATAGTGCCTTCCTAGAGCATCAAGTATTTGGGGGTGGGGAGAGTTGTGAATTGTGAGAGTGATGAGTAAATTATGAGATTGAGGATTATGTTAGGATTGTGGGTCTGGTAGGGATGTGGTGATGAAGTTATGTGAACACTAGCTGTGCAGTTGCATCTGCATGTCATATTTTCTCCTCTACATCCTTTAGAGGCCTGCCTGTGATAACCGTAAAATTGGGCACTCTAATGCAATTTTTGCAAGAAACTTGAATAGCTACCTCTTTTTCCTGGTCAAGCATACGAAATGTAGACAAAGAAGTCCCTACTTTAAAGAAAACTAGGTCCGATAGGAAGAAAAGAAGAACAGATTCTGAGAGAGGAAGAGAGGAGGAAGCAATTGGGGAAAAGGTAAGTTTGGCATGACAGTGCCGCTTTAACTGAGGGAGCAGCAAAGAAGGAGGAAGTAATCTATTGATTACCACTTATTATGCAAAGGAAAGTATGCTGATTGGCTGTTGCGGTTACTAGGAAGATTACCTCTTGTTATATACATATTAATTTATGATTTTTTAATGTTATATTTCTTTGTTGCTGAGTGAAAAAAAGGAAGAATGCAGCATAATAGGAACATCTGTGTCTTAATAAAATGTATAACTTTGCCTTTGGATAAATCTTGTTTTTTCAATACGGCCCTCAGATTAGGTTGGACAGCCCCGGGCTAAGTGATTTGTGATTTATCCATCATTGCTTTAAAGTTGATGTTTTAAAAAAAAAAAAAGTGTTTTTATTTTATTTTATTTTTTTTACAATTGTTGTGGGAAGTGTATTTTTATTGTAGTTGAGCTGTTAGGGAATATAGCTATTCTATTTATTGTGAGGCTTATTTTGTATTAATTGTGTGTTATATTTCTAGAGCTAGGAGTCAATCATGCTGCATATCCTGTATCTGTATTCTATCAATAATGTCTATCCTGGATATATTATTAAATTTAATTTTAATCACTATATATATTACAGAAGAGTGCTAATTTAATGAGTTATTCATACTACATAATATAACTCATCAGCACCCCTACTTTTCTAAACCAAGACTGTGCAATACAGTGAAAGATAGCTCTCTAATGTTTACATTGAGACTATACACACATTGGGAGCATACATTTTAAGATGAAACTATTTTTCTTCATTAAGTTAAATATACAGATCTATCAAATGTGTCTGCACAATGTTATTAAAATTAGCTCAGTAAAACGTAGGTCCACTTCAATAAAGTATAACCTGCAAAGTAAAGATTTACTTAAGTGGAATCCAGCTCCGGGCAAAACTCCCGGTGCTGATCCTCTGTGCCCCCTCCAAACTTTTTATCTCCTGCTCTGTTAATTGAACTTTAATCACAAAGATCGCATGGGAAAGGCCTTAAAACTCACCTTTGATCCCACGTTGTACTGCTCTTGTTGTGGCTGGCCGCGCCTCCATGGCTGAGGTAATAAATCTTGATGCCCTCAGCCAATCCAATGCTTTTCCATAGGAAAGCATTATAAGGCTATTGTACATGCACACCAAAATGCTGCGCTGTGTCTATCCACATTTCCTCATAGAGATGCATTAAATCACTGCATTTCTATGGGGAGCGATCGGAATCTCTATGTAGAGCAAGACTTTAACAGGTGACCCTGTGGGCCACAGTACAGGCACAGGCCTTCCCTCCTCCTGCAGGATCCAGATGTGCAGTATGACTCAGAAGGGTCTGCAGTGCATGCACAAACTGGTCCAAACTGTGGTCCTGCTGGCTCAACCAAGTAAATTAGGTATAGGTGGATTGCCTGTACCATATATTAAAGAAATACTCACACTCTTATGTATAATGCAAATCAGATTTTATTTCACAATGGTAATAAATATGTCCTAAATTAATCTTGATGCACCCATAGATGACTCATATCCCAGTAATTAATAAACATTCAAGATAAACTATATGCAGTAGTCCTGTCATATAGTGTAAATGTGCATAGCCAATACCGATAGCAAAAAAATGAAAAAAAATACTCTGACAAATATTTTAATTTAGAAAAACAATATTTCAAAACAGAAAAATAAATACATAAATTGCTGTACAATATATTCACCTTTGCCAGTCAGGAAGAGGACAGATAAACCATCCTGTACCATCTGGATTCATGGCCTTTGCGTAATGTTAGGGATCAATAACCAGACAGAGACAGAATGTAAGATGCAAAACACCTTTATAAATAATAATTAAAAAAATAGTAAAATAGTCCAAAAGCAAAGTCCAGGAGGCGAGCAGGGGTCAGGAACCAAAGCAGGTAATCAGACAAGCCGGAATCAGTAGAACGGAGAGCAGCGGAATCAGGAACCAGGAAACACTGGAAATGTTTTGGGAAATCAAGAACAACGCAAGAGCAAAGCGGTACTGAGAAAGGAGCTGACCATTAAAAACTGCTGAAAAGTTCATACACAGTGTAAGAAAGTATTGCTTTTTAAAACCGCAAAGAAACCCTGAAAAACAACTCCACTAATCTGTAGTGTTTCTGGTTACTTTAGTGTCTCCTTAAGCTAAAGTTGTTTTGTTGCGCATAATGTCTTATACGCACTAGGGATGCACCGAAATGAAAATTCAGGATGCCCTTGGCCGAAAACCGAAACAACTTTTTTCCTCAAATGATTTAAAAAAAATGTTTTCCCTAAAATGTTGTTAATATTAGACTTTTTAATGAATTTAATTCATCTAATATGAAAAACTTCCCTTCTCTTTTAGTGGTCCCCCCGCTTAATGTTCCTCTCATTTCCCTCTTTTTTAGTGTTCTTCCCCCCCCCTTCCCAGTCCTGGTAGTGTTTCAGTGTAATGTTTTAGCACAGTTTTTCCCCGTCCCATGGTGTTCTTTCCCCCTCCTGTCCATAGTGTTCTTTTCCCCTCCTGTCCATAGTGTTCTTTTCCCCCTCCCCTGTCCCATAGTGTTCTCCCCCCTTTCTTGTCCCATAGTGTTCTCCCCCACCGTACTATAGTGTTCTTTTCCCCGTCCCATAGTGTTCTACCCCCTCCCCTGTCCTTTAGTGTTCTCCCACTTAATGTTCCTCTCCCATCCCTCTTTTTTAGTGTTCTTTCCTCCCTCCTCCCCTGTCCCATAGTGTTCTTTCTCCCCCTCATGTCCCATAGTGTTGTTTAGGTCCAAGTGCAGTATTCTTGACTTTTCATGTTATCATTACTATCTTTCATTGTGATATATAATCTGAATTGTTAATGCAAGCATGTCTGTTAAAATATGCACTACACGAGGGCGGAGCCAACTGTGGAACAGAGAGGACACGTTTTCCCCGAGCTCCGAGCCTGGC